GCTGCTGTGCCATGCTGCCTTAAAAGCATGGGCTAAAGTCACGGTGGAGCATCTAAGACGGCTATTTTTGCACTGGTATCTGTTCTTCACTCAGTGTATTTCCCTTGTGTGTTTTTCCCCTTAGGATAGTGTAAGGGTGTTTTGAGTTTGATAGGCGGGTTTTGGATTGAAGATAAAAGTATTTTCCACTTTGTTTGATGGCAAGGAAAATATTAGGGAAAGAGCAGTGTTCCATCTATAATCCTGCAAGTGGGTTCATCTCTTCTGGCACTTAATCTCTTCTGTGAATCATGACATAAGCTAACATTTCTCGGGTTAATGGTATTCCTCTCTTTGTAGCCTTTATCCGGGGTTTGTAGGCTAGGCTTGCATTGTCTCATGGCCAGGCAGTGGCCCTCTAGCACAAGATCTTATTGGTGCTGGTTCTTCACACTCAGGAAAAGGAAATGCTTAGTGGTAGCATTTGCAATAAGGTGTTTCTCTTGCCTTTTGAGAGAACAGTTTGCTGTCCCCCTACTGAAATTCCAGCCAGCTCCAAAGCAGCCTAATGCTACCAGGTAACTCCATTTTTCTGACAACCTGGTCTTCCAACTTAAACATGATCTTGTAGTACTTAAAGTGTAGTTGGAAAGTTTAGTGTAAAGCTTATCACTGTTTATCATCAAAGATACTTTATCTGTCGACATAGACTATGCATAAAAAATTTCTATAGAAGCTCATGAAAATTGCCCCAGATGGCAGACTTGTGGGTGGGTCATCCTTTAGAACAGTGCCTTTTATATGGCTAGTTATTGGAATGCTTTCAGTAATTTCTTTCAAGGTATGTTTTCAACCCTCACTGACTTGGCTCTCTGTGCTATTGTTGCTATCAGTTATGTTTCAGCATTTTCACTTCTTTTTGAATGTGAAATTCAATTGCAATAAGCTGCTCAGACACTTCATGCTTAGCAGGGCAAGGATGCTTTATTCTTGCAGCAAGACATCAGCCAATTCCTGCTACTTTAAGGAAAAGAGCTATGCTTTATGATGTGGGAGAAATGCAGAAAATTTCTTCTTTCATGAAGGAACTATAATGAGAGGGAAAATGTGTTTTTAGCTTATGATTCTGGAGTGTGTCATGCATGTTCACATTTGCATTTCTCACAGTAAGAGTTAGATCTAAAAGTCTAGTAGCACTTTATTTTCTGAGATGCTTTCTGGTTTTGCTGACCATTCATATCTGTATGCCATTGAGCATAAGGGAAAAAATTCCAAGATATTTCTATTCCCACTTGCAGTACTGAATATTTGAAAGCAGATCATAAAACAGCTGTGCTGTCCCAGTCTAGCAGGTCATGTTCTATTAAGTATTGTGGAGAGAAGGATATCTGCTGGGCTTATGAGGATTTAGAAATTTTTTGCAAATCTTTTACTCTGTGTATAGATAATCAACATACTGCTTTTAAATTACTTTTTCGTATTGCTTTACGCAGTCACGCCTGCTTGAAAACAAAGCTGTTTCATGATGAATTCAGCTTTCACAAATTGAGTCAGACGTGATTTAAATAACATGAATTAGATACGGTCTTCCCTCCCACTGAAGACTGATTTTGGAAAAAGAAAACTTTAGAAGGGGTATAGCTTAATAAAAAGAACTGCAGTCTAGGTATGTCTGATATTGGAGGTCTTATGGATGTGTTGGAGCTGTAGCTCCAACCAGGTACCAGAGAGAGTGGGCTCCTTACTGGTAAGAAACTTGTGGTTTGGAGGAACCCAGTTTTAGGCAGGCCTTGGTTTCTTAGATTAGTCATGTAACATTTGGAGTATAGGATCTCTAATCTTCAATACAACTTCCTCCCCATCTGCTTTGCTCTTGACACAAGCAGTGCCCTGAAAAGAGTTTGTCTTTGCTAGAGAAAAAAACAGATGCAAAAAATGCGTTATCCTGAGTCAGAATAGAATTTTTGAGACTGGAAATCATCTGCTGGGGAGCTGAATCTAAAAGGCATTTGTAACTTTATATTCAGAGCTGCAATAGTGATACTGGTCTGGGGTTTTGTATGTTTTGTTTTGATTTTTTTTTTTTTTTTTTTTTGAGCCAAGGAAGTGTGGAAAAATACATTAGTGTTATTGATTTGGCTATGTAGAAAGTCATCAAGGAAAAAGGCTTGAGTTTCTATCAGAAACAATTCCTTGTTCCACCTTTTCAGCCCTTTCTATTTCAGGTTATCTGAGTAGCAACCTGATTCAATGGTAAGAATCAAGGTCATATTTTATTCAGTACAAGAAAATGGAAAATCTGGCAAGGGCCTAGATACCTGTTTTGAAATGGTTTTATTTAGTCCTTTCTGCTACAGCTGCTGTCAATGGAAAGAGATAAAGCTAATGACAGTATACAGGGAATTTACTGTTCATTATTCATGACTTGCTAAAGGTTTTAAGTCTGTAAAGGATTTTGTTATTCTTTTCATAGGTCTTTCAGGTTTTCAGATATGATTGGCTGGCAAGAAATTGGATGAAACAATTAAAGAAAAGATGGATATTTTTCTTGACTTACTAAACTTGACAGAGAACTTGAGAACAGAATTTAATATATAACCATTGTCATGGACAAATTCACTAGTTAGAACTGCAGTGTAGCAAGATTATGTTCATACTGTCATTATTTGAATAAACTTTAGACTTGCATTTTGTGATGGTGTCCTCAGACCTAACAAGCTTTGTTGTGAAGCCTTTAATTTTTAAATAAAAATCTGAATTACAAATTTAGAGCAATTGTAAATAGGATGTGGTATGAGTGAGTAAATGTTTATCTGTAATGCAGAAAAAAAATGCTGAAGAGTAACAATTATCAGTAGTATTGTATGGTATTCTTAAAGTAAATTCGGGGATTATTAATGTAAATAAAAATCAATGAACAATGCAAGAACTTTTATTCCATAAGAATTTGATATTGAGTGCAATGAACCAAAATGTCAGCCATGCTTTGTAATCCTTACAAATCTTGGTTGTGGTCTCAGCATTTTCATCTAAATTCTAACTTGTGGCTTTTCTGTCTTTCCTCCTCCTGCTTAGGAAGGTTAATGTGTCCGTTCATTTGGGACTGCAGTACTGGGACAGTGCATATTGGGAGCATGAAGGCAAAAAGAAGGGTGGTGTTACAGGAGTGACACCTGTCACAGCATGACAATTTTGATACAAACCAGTGTGGGGAAGGACAGAAAAAAGCCAAGTCAGACTTTGATTTTACCTTCCCATTAAGATGATTGGAAGAAACTACAGTTCTGATTCAAGATGAATCTGAATCTGAATCTCAAATTGTATTCCCTTTTACAAGTATGCCAGTAATATATTGCTTCAGGTTGCCTTCTGTTCTGATGCTCTTGTAACTTTTTCAATATATTTCTACCACTATAAATGTTACAAAGATTCAGTGCTTTAAGGAATGTCTTGCAAGTATTTTATAGGCACAGTCATTTCTATTAAAAAAACATGGCTATTCTTCTGTAAAGAAACACTTTAAATTTACAAATAGAATATTACCCAAAATAGTGAGGTCTGAAAAGCAAAGCTGTTAGACAATAATATTTTTCATTTCTTGAAGTGGGTACCTGACAAAATTAGATTTCCCATTCCAGATTCTCCCTTCTTTTTCCTTAAAGAGAAGTTAAAAACAAACAAAAGTGAGAGGAAAAGCATTGTGAACCACTGTAACGTCATGGCATAGATTCCACAATCCTTCTTCTCAAATAATAAAGTCATTTATTTACGAATGCCAGAGCATTTCTCAATTTCTTCTTCCTCAGTTGTTGCCTGTTACTTGTTACACATAAGAAACCTTTTAGTGTTCCATCTTAGTGATGTTACTCAAGTTGTTAAGAGAACAAAACTTCATAATCAAAATTGTGATGTAAAACTTCAGTTAGGTCACAATGTCTAATTAGATTGTAATTACATTGTCTTGGTAGTTAAATTATAGGGATGCTGTTGCTGTGCTCCTTTTCAAGGGTTTAACACTGATTGCAATGGCTTGCATAAAATATTTTTAAAAAATCAAACCATTATATATATTTTTATATGTATATTCTTATTTTGATAGATTCTGATTTATTACGTAAACTTCAATATCTTCAGTATGAGAATTAGCAAACTGTTTCACAGTAAAAATTACTGGCTGAATATACCTGGTATTTTCTTTAGTTAGTTCTTAGTTCCTTAGATCCATAGTTTGCTTTCCCTTGTAAGTTGGCCAAAAGTCTGGCCTAATCATCAGACCAGATATTTGGGAGTTGCTAGGTTCTGTGCTCACCTCAGGTAGTATAGACTGTTGGTCTTGTGTTCTCTCCTTACAGAATTAATATATTTGAATTTTCATGTCCACATAATTCTCCAAAGCAGAAATTTCCTCCTCTACTGGTACAATAGTATTCTTGAAGTACTTTGTAACTTAATTTATATTGTACAAAGTCAACTTGTTTGAACTAAATACTTCATCTTTTCAAAGAGAGCACTTGAATTTGATATAATTGTTTAGAGGTTTCTGTGATATATTCTATAATTTGTGTTGTTTTATCATTAAATGGATTAGACTTAGTTTCCCAAGTAACAGACTACAGTATTGATCTTACATTTTTAAAATTTAAAAAAACTTACTAAAATATTGTAGGAGATGATAAAACATTTAAAAAATATTGATTTTTCATATGTTGAATTATTCAAAGGTTGGACTACAGTCTCAATGCTCTATAATCATAAATTATCTAAAAGTTTAATTAATAATTAAGAATGTATAAAGCAGTTGTTTAGCTATCTGTAAAATTATGTTTATTATGTTGACTTTATAGCAAAACTGTGGTACAAAATGCTTACACTTCTGGTGATTAAGAATGAATTAACAACCACCATCTAATGTAGGTGCACATTTTCTAAAGCTGCATGCTTTCACATGTGAATGTTTATTTTAAGCATGTAAAAGTAGCAGAAAATATCTTTTTTTTTTTTTTTCATTCCTGTGATTGCAGAAGCTGCTGGGTTTGTTTTGCTACCGATGAGGATGATCGGACAGCAGAGTGGGTGAGGCCCTGCAGGTGCAGGGGCTCCACCAAATGGGTGCATCAGACCTGTCTGCAGCGCTGGGTGGATGAAAAGCAAAGAGGAAACAGTACTGCTAGAGTTGCTTGTCCTCAGTGCAATGCAGAATATTTAATAGTATTTCCAAAGCTAGGTAAGATATGGATTATTTAAATTGTTGTTTATTTATTTGTTCTTGCTGTCTTTATTTTTTTCCCTTTCTTGTGCTCAGAGCACCAGTTCTGTTGGAAATTTATCTATTCCCTTTTCCAGACAGAAAGAAATAACTTCATATTTTGCTTGCATCCTCTTTGGTGACTTAAATACCTTGGAAAAATTTTGGCTGTATTCCTCTTAGGTATATAGATAAAACTCGTGATTGACCTGTAATTATTTCCTGGCTAATGGGATTATTTTTCTTGTTGAGCAGGAGGTGACTTCTTTCAGTAATTGACACACAGCACATAAACACATCCTTTTTTTTGACTCATCTTGCAGAGACATTATCAGAGGAAATTCAGAGGAGAATTTCCTAAGCAGCACATGGTATTACTGGAAAAACATACTTTCACTTTGGTCAGGTGGTATTTCTGAGTCAGTATTACCCTGTAATCAAGAGGCAGAATATTTATGATTGCTGGATACTGCTCTAGCTCTGTTTGTCAAGGTGAAAAAAAGAGTTAGACATGGTCTTCCAGAGTAGCCAAGTAGGATAATGCACAGTAAGTTGAATGTATTTAAATTAGCAGTGCTTGCTGTTATTTCAGCCCTCGTTTGCCCATGTGTTCTATGGGATATATTAAGCAAATCAAGAAAATGAAATGTTGCCATGGAAACTTAAATCTTGTTTAAAAGTAAAACTGCTTGTTAAAGAAATGGTGATGTAGCAATTGAGTGCAGGCATTTAGAGTTTTTTAAAGAAGGTTTTTTTTCAAGTATCTTATTTCTGTAATGAAAGAGCTGAAAATAACTCACTGCCAGTTCTTTGGGACAGGACCTCTTTCTTATTAACTTAAGGGCTGATGAAATTAAGGTGTCATGGGAATTTTGAGTGATGACATTGATTACCAAGTTAGAACACTCAGTAATGGAAAGGAATATATACACAACAATACTGTGTTGTTGATATAAAAAAAGATATAAACCAGTATGAAACTTACTACAGATTATTCATATAACAACTCCAATTCAACTTTGCTGAATAGGGTAAGTCTCCATCGTAAAGAAGGCATCAAACAATGTTTAGCATTGGCTTTGGGAAGAAGATTTGGTTTCTCTCTGGACGCAGAATGCACCACAAAACTTGACACTGTTTAAAATTCTTATTTGTATCTTGACTGATGAAACTGTAACGTGAGCTGCATTTGCATTTTATTTTGACAATGGCAAAAAGGGGAAGCAACTATAACTTGGACAGGATATATTAACATAACTGGCATTTTAATTTGTTCCTGCAATTCGTGGCATATTGTATCTGAAAGCTTAGATTCCAACATTCCGGATTCTGAAGCTGGCCTAAAACTCTTGCATGAGGTTGCTCAGCTCTTGCATGCATGTATGTGAGACTTCCTTCCTGTATTTTGATATATTTTCCCTCACAATACCTTTTTTTCCCATTTTTAAAGATAAGGGCATAAAAATTCAGACTTGTGTAAGAGTACACAAGACAATTAGCAGAGCAGAGAAATTTGGGTCCATGGAACATCAGTCGTGACTTTGAAGTGTCTTAAAAAAGTGAGCCAGTCTTGTGCTTTTGTAACTCTTTCTAGTAACCCAAAGCTGTTACAGTTGTTCAACTACAAGCTAATCAAGGTCATCCTAGGCAGGGTAAGGACAGTAAGAATTTTCCAAGAAGCCTTGCTAGTGGCTCTGTTTTTTCTGCAGCAGGTGTCTTTTGAAGACAGTTCAGTCATACTGTTCCCTGAGGAATATCAGTTCAGAAACTTATTTAAGACTTCTCTAATGTACTTTTTTTCTTAAAATTCTGTGAAAGGACACCCCCAACACAAATTTTAATTTATGATTATAGTTTAGAAGCAATATCAACTTGAGGAGACATCAGTGAATATAAGGAACAGTTGGTGTTTTTTATGTATTTACTAGTTCAAAACAACTTCTCATGATATATCTCAAAATCATAATTCCATTTTTGATTTGATAGTACCTATCAGTTCTGGTGATTGGTGGTAATTATGTCCTTATGAACTGTTTTCTGCTCTTCTGAGAACTTTTACTAAATAGGAAAATGTTATTGACACTTTGAAAGTAACCAAAGTTTCTTTTAGATAATTACTTCAGTTTAATAAATAGAAAACAGTTTGGCTGAAAAAAACTCTTTAAAGCATGATGTATTTTTTAAAATGAAATTTTTTTTTTTGTTTCATGTTTCCTTCTTTAATTTGGGTATCATTGATATTTATTTTCCTGTTTCTTAAAAAGCAAAACCAGTTTTGTCCTCCTTTTTCACTATGTCCTTCTTAAGGATGAATTAAAAGTTTGTTTCAATAGTTTGCTTCTAGTATTTTCTCAAGATTCTATACCCAATTCTCTAGCCAGGTTTCTCTTAATGATTAGTATCAGTAGATGTAATTCATTAGTACTTGTGTTATAAGGCAACCTTCAGTGTCATTTGAGTCTCCTGTCTTCAAACATAAGTTTTCAAGATGAAACAACTTTTTTCAGTGACTCTGGGAAACAGTCAAGATGTGTAAACTACTGTGCGTTTAGTACTTGCAGGTATGACCTTGTTGCTACTTCCAGCATACTGATAGGCATCCCAGCACCTTCTTAAGTGTGTTCTGGAAAGTCAAACACAACTGTTAAGAGTTGAACTGGATGTTCCTGTTGCTTTATTTCACCAGCTGACTTGAGCTGAGTAGAACCGAGGTTTTTGAAATCATTCACAATGGAGTTGTTCTCTAGAAAAAGAAGAACTAAGTCATGAAACAGGAGTCACAATTTTGTCACTGTGGGTAAATTTTGAGACATGGAGGATTAGTTACTTGAGGAATGCCTGCAGGCTGTTTCTGAGAATTGTCACTGATTTTGGTAGGAAAAAGTAGGGAGCTCACAGGAACTATTCATGCATATGAGCTGTGGGAGGACAGTCTATATGTAGAATTTGTTGACAAATACAAAAGTAATGCAGATTATGGTGACAATGTTTTTCACTTCCACATATACATTTCAGCGTTCTGGCTTTTGCTACACTCATGCTCTTGCAGACCCCTCAAAGAAAAGATGCAGGCATTGCACTTGTTTACCTCACCAAAGGTAGTCAGAGTATTTATTGTCTTGCCCTGTGTAAGTCTGGAAAGTGCAGTTGTGCATAGACAGAACAGTGAACCTATTCATGTGTTGTTGTCAAAGGCACTGAATAACCTGAATAGGAGTATTTTTTCTTCCAGTGTTCTGAGAGGTGATCCTCTAAACATACTGAATGCAGCCTCTTCCAGTGGAAGGAATCTTTTGTGTTATCTGCACTACTTTTTGCTGCATAGCATGATAGTTTAGTGACAGAATTTTCAGGTGAAGCTGTCAAAGATGAGGACATGAAGTACATTACAAAAAATCGCTATTTTTTCCTTTAGAAAACTAAAATATCTAACAATTAAAAAAAGGCATAAGCCTAAAGTGGTTTCTACAAAAGAACAATTCTTATTGAACACAAAGGAAGCTAATCGGTGGGTAAATTAGTGCTTTAAGCAGTGTATCAATCTCCTGGAAAGATTATGCGGTAAATGAAATGGTAGGTAGAAAGAAGTTACAAGTTTAGCTTAATAGCTTTATAATTATATATTCTCACTTAAATGGCACGTGTAGTATGTCAGACTGGTATTTTGCCTTATTTGTTCTTTCTTATTGGTGATAGATGCTGACTTTTCTACCGTATGCTTTTATGTGTGTGTATCTATATATATCTATCTTGAAACCTTACTTTTCCTTTATCTTAGGTCCAGTTGTTTACGTTTTGGATCTTGCAGATCGACTGATCTCAAAGGCATGTCCCTTTGCTGCAGCTGGAATAATGGTGGGCTCTATCTACTGGACAGCTGTTACGTACGGAGCAGTGACGGTCATGCAGGTACACACGTCTTCCCTCCTCTTGCCAGCTTTGAAAGCAAAAGTCAATTCAGACTCCTCTTTCCTTGGCTTAAAACATGCTTAGCTGCTTTCAGTATACTTAGTAGTGAATTCAAGATGGTTTTTCATGTTTAACTGGTCATAGTTTATAATGCAAGTATGACTGTTTGGGCATGGTTCAGTCTGCAGCTAACAAAACCCACTACTGCTCTAGCTGGCTGCCTTGTGTTTGGCAGACTGGTGAGCCCAGTTCTGTTCTCATGGAAAAGGTACCGTTATCACCTAGCTACCAATAATGAGTAATTCTTCAGAAAAGACATGAAATAAAATTTTTTTTCTTACCTGGAGAAAAACTTTGCTAGTAATATTCAGAGGGTTGAGATTGAAACATGGTGAATTATTTTCTGGGTAATGTGATTTTTTTTTTTAATTGTATAAAGGAAAATTCATAAACAAGAAATGCAAAACACTGCAAATTAATAATGTTTTAATTACTTCAGACTGTATGATTAGTTGAAAGGGGAAAAATACTTTTCCTGCTTCTGTTTTTGTGAACTTGATATTTAAATAGAAAAGTAATGTTGACAGGTGGTAGACTATTAGGTGTGGAAAGACTTGTTCATGGCAATCCTAGTTCAACCACAAGAGCAGAGTTTTCAGAGATTGTACAATCAGAACCACTTTCATTACACTTTTAGTTTTTGATTCCTATATCAAGTCCATAACCTGTGTTTTGCCAGAAAGCATCAAAGTATTTCTGATGGTAATTCAGCTGTAGATAGAATTAACAAACCACTATGTTAATAAATACTCCTCTACACAGTTTAATTTTAAACATACAACCTGGTTCTTTTCCCTTTAAGTCATTTGGCACTAGTTCTTGGGATGTGTGGTACTGACCTGCAGTTGTGCAGGTCACTCCCTCTGAAGATCGTGTGCTGTTTTGGTTCAGTTTCTATGTGGTCTGAAAGCAGAAATGGAGCCCAAATGAGTGGTTGTGGTTTCCCTGTACCAGTGTGGCCGAGGGGCAGGCAGCTGCATAGGTGATATGTAATGGCTTTCAATACCACTTCATTTCCAGTGGATAAGTCTGTGTATTACAGAGTGGTGCACTTAGACATTTTTTTCATTGGATATTTTATTCTTGTGGCTCCAACAGGAACATTACAACCATCTGTAATACTACAGCCAGACTTTGGAAATGCACCAGTCCTTTTCTCCTTGCTCACTGCTACACTGAGCTCTCTTTCTGAAGGAAATGGTGACCTTTTTAGCTGCCCTAGAACTCCATAGCCAAATGGAAAAATAAATGCTTAGTTCTACAGTTGTTTTGATTTTGAAGTGGGGATCTGTCTAAACGTTAGTTTAGGCAGCTGGTCAAATCCCAGGTATGAGGAATTTGCTATTTTCATGATTGAATGTTTTGATTGTATGGATGGCAAGCTGGGCAAGACAATAATTTAGTTTTGCTTGTAGATGAGGAGATTGAGTGGGTAGTAGAGGGAAACAGTTCCACCCCTTTTGCCACCCCAACCTTGCTAGGTTTAATACAGCTTGTCTCCTAATGCATTTCAGACTCCTTTCCTTTAGCTGAAGGGCCAGAGAGAAGCACAAAAGCTATTTTTAGACTTCAGGAGCAGAAAAATAAATACAGAATTGACATTGTGGTAGCTAAGTCAGTAACAAGTCAGATGGAGTTACTGAAAGCAGTGAAATACAGTAATCTAAAGCAGAAAGAGACAAGATACTGAGGCTTTTTTTGATGGGCAATGACTATAAGGAGAAAAAGGATAGTGTCAGACTTCACAGCTTGAGTAGAAGATACTGAAGAAGCTGGAAGACAAATGCTGAATGTTTTTTCAGGAATAATCTTTTGGCAGCAACAATATTGGTTATGCCTATTTTTAGAGTAACATAGCTTCCTGTTCTAGAGGCATAACATGGAATGCTTTTCAGAGCAAGGCAAAAAGGTACAGTTTGAAGATACTATTACCATAGCTTCTTCTCCTTGTGTCCTACCTATTCCAGAAGTACTGGATTTGTTGTTTTCCTTACTTTAAATTTTGCTGTTCTTTCATGTTCTTATCTCCTAATTCTAATTTTCATGCATTGAAGACTTGATAATTTATTGTACTTAAGGAGAAAATGAGAAGTCAGTGAAAATACATCAGAAAATCCAGTGCCTGACAAATACAATTATTATTTTAGTGTTTTTAGTCCTCACAGACTATTGCAGAAAAAGTCATGAAAGAGCCTGTCATTCCTGGAAGCAGTTCAAGGACTGTATTAGCATTTGTACTGCTTAAATTGAGACAACTCTAGAGGGATATCTACCACTCTTAATGTAATTTTTTTATCCTCAATCCTATTAGATTTATTTAAAATTAAAACAATGTACTTTTTAGAAGACATAAGGCATCATTCTATTACAGTTTTAATATGTGCATTTTATAAATGGAAGTCTGATTAATTTTTTGTATATGTCAGTAGAAAAGTGTAGATACAGCAGTAGTAATGATCCTTTAAAATCCTTGAACTAACTACATTTGAAAATAAGGTACATGTGAAGATTTTACATGCTGCTATTTCCACTAAAGTTGAAAATAATGTTTATCTTCCTGCATTGTCCAGAGAAACAATAGTTAAATACTGTGATCTGTTATGTAAGGTATTCCTAAAAAACATAGAATTTTGATAAAAATATCCTGAGGTATCTACTGTCAGTTTATCTTTAGAACAGTAGTACCTGATTAGAATTAATCATTGTAAAACTGTAAATTCTTAAATGCATTTTGGAAAGCCTGCTGTATTATTAGTGGTTCAGATGTTTAGGCTTTTACTTACACAGAAAGACATGAAACCTTTCTTGAGATGGTAAGGCATTCTGTTACAGCTCTCTGCAAGATTAATGATTTACAACCTAGGGTTGGTAGTTCACCTGCATTATGCTCCATAAGCAACAAAGAATACAAAGCGAAATCAGAGTAAATTAGGTTAAACAGTATTCTTTTTTCCTTTAACTTAAAAGGTGGGCAGCTTCAAATAAACTCAACTTTTTAAGTTACATTTTTGTTCTTTTGTACGTGGTTAGATTGTTGTAGCCTCTGTTACATTTGACAACTGTATGCATATTTTGCAGGTTGTGGGTCACAAAGAAGGTCTTGATGTGATGGAGAGAGCTGATCCTTTATTTCTTTTGATTGGCCTCCCCACTATCCCAGTCATGTTAATACTGGGCAAGATGATCCGTTGGGAGGACTATGTGCTCCGACTGTGGCGCAAATACTCTAATAAGCTACAAATTTTGAACAGCATATTTCCAGGTAATATGATTAAATTTAAAAGGAAATGCCAAGATTGAATTTGATTGAATAAGATTGACTGATTGAATAGAAGATGGGGATATGCGAGTAGTTTTTGCTATTTTTAAGCAGAGGTGATTAACACCATCCCTCTATTTCACATTCATTCTGTTTAGATTGTGTTTGTATAGTATGTCCTGAGAAGGGCAGGAATAGCAGGAGCATGGTTTCAGTTCAGGCTTTAGAACCAAAACTAAGTGACTAAAATTCATGGATCTTACTTGGAAGTAAAAATTACTGCAGTCATTTAATGGAAACAGAATATTCACTGAGAAGAGGGATAGTTCTCAAAAAGAAGTTGGGCTGTAGATTTGTAGTGGAGTGGGGAATGGGCAGTAATGTACTTTCTGTATTCTTTTTGAGGCAGTGGCTATGTGACCTTTTCTTCCCCCATTCTTATCCCTTTAGGCATTGGATGTCCTGTTCCTCGTATCCCAGCAGAGGCCAACCCTTTGGCAGATCACGTCTCTGCCACACGTATTTTGTGTGGAGCTCTAGTTTTCCCTACTATTGCCACGATAGTTGGCAAGCTGATGTTCAGCAGTGTTAACTCAAATTTACAAAGGACAATCTTGGTAAGGTTCAATATTATTTGTTTCATAAATTATTATGATACAGGAATATGAAATGTTGTGAAGGAAGGAGGCAAAGGAAAAAGGAACATAAATTGATCCAGAATTTTAAGAGCATTTGATTAAAGGAAGGGTTTCTTTTAGGGTTGCCTGTCTTAGCAGTGGACAGACATCATGTGTGTGAAAGACTGTCTTTATGACTGAAACTAATCTCAGCTCATGACAAGGCTGAAACTTTTACCTGGCACTGAAGTAGGCAGGCATTAGCAGTAATTAAGGCTGACAATGAAGATGAGGAGCCAGTATCTTCTAAGAACAGTCTCTGTAAGGGAAGACTGAGGTTTATATTATAAACCTTTCTATATTAGCTTTTGTTTATTGATTTTGAAAGAAACCTTTCATTTCTTATTTTAATAAGGAGAGGAAAATTAGCTCTCCATAGAATTCAAGTGGAGGGGGAATGACAGTCTCTCCCTTTGTGAAAACCTCTCTGCTTGCAGCCTTTCAAGGGCAAGTACACTGAGTTTGGTAATATGGAATCCCTGCTCTGACTGTCACTTCAGCCCATTTTCAATTCCTGAATGTTTATGCACCTCTCTCTTTTATATGGAACAAACAGTGATATTGCAAATGTTCATACAGACTAAAAGTTTCTTGGTGTCTCATTTTGAAGATTTGAGAGAAACATATTGTAAAGCTTTCTAGAGGGCAACAAAAGTTTGTTTTACAAAAATAGATTTTATTTTAGTCTACTTTTGGCAAGTGCCATTTTTCATAGTCTAGTTACAGAATGGTTATCAATACTATTTTGTGACATGTATAGTATATATTCAGAAAAGAGTGAAAAGCAAATACATATCTGCCTATTCTTTGTTCTTGAAATAAGATTTTGATTTTTAAATTTAGGATACTGGTGAGACTTCCAAGGAAATAAAAGCTTTTATAAATTCAGTCTGTAATCCCTTTAAGTAACATTAACCTCTGTAATATGCATTGTGACAGAAAACTTTGAGATACTCATTTGGAATGCTACTAACTAGTTAATCTTTAGAAGAAAATACCATATGTTTAGAAAAAAATCTCTGACTGGAAATTTTTGAGAACATTTGCAATGATATGACACTGAACTGTGCAGGTTTTCAAAATATCTTTTTTTTTTCAGGGTGGAATTGCTTTTGTTGCTATAAAAGGAGCTTTTAAGGTTTACTTCAAGCAGCAGCAATATTTGCGCCAAGCTCATCGCAAAATTTTAAATTATCCTGAGCAAGAAGGAGCATAAGGCTGTAACCTCCAGATGTCACAGAATCTCACCTAACAGGTTTCCATGTTGTATTGGTTCCATTGTTATTGCACAGTAGTGGAAAATCGTGATAAGTTGCTGCTCCTCTATTTTTTTTTTCTTTAAATACAATAAAGCACTGTCTTGTGGCAGGGTAAATCCTTTCAGCAACCACTGAGCCTAAGAATGTTCTTTGGCTTTCGTTATTTTTTTGGTATTTCTGTTGGGCAATAGGTTTTTGAATTATTTTCTTTGAGCCAATATATGGAATGGAAAAGAAAAAAAGAATCAACTACAGAACATTTTAAGTGTAGTTATGTAGGCTATATCCAAATGCCTTTTCTATAGGTGTTTTCATACCCACGCTGTCATTCAGTTTAGCATTTCACACAATGAAGGGAGATTGCTTTAGAAGGGGAATGTGAGTCATTACCAAGGAGAAGTAATTTTCCATGGGTTTTGCTGGTATCAAACAGGGAGTGTGAAATACCCAAATGACAGAGAAAGCAGAAGATAGATCACTCTCTACAGGACTTATATGTCAGCTTTAACCACCTAACTATTAGGTGTTAAAATTAGCATGGCTTTCAGGTGACTGTTTTATTACTGGTAATTTTCAGTGTCCTGTTGTATCTTCTGCAGTGCCTAGTGTCATTTTCTCATGGCTTTACTGGTTTGTAACTGGTGCTGGATAGCATTTTTTTCCTCCAGTAAAATAATTACAAGAGGGAAGTAAATTTCAGTTGCTTGTTTTGTAGTTAAGTATTAGAGCACATGTTTAGTTTCCATATTCCTTTATGTTGTGGAAATACCCGTAGAAAACCTGTGAGAAAACAGCATTGAACACTAAACCTTCATTTAAACTGACAGAGCAGGGCATCCCCTGAAGCATCCAGACCTGAGTGTGTAACTCAGCTGTGTTCAGGACTAGGCTCTCCTGCCCTAGTGGAAGTGCTGCCTGCAGGGGGCTGACACTACACCTTGGGTACCTGAGCTGAGCATCCTGCCTGCAGGGTAGGTGCTCTTAAGGTAACTTGGCTCCATTTTGTAAAGGGCTAGAGGAAAAATCTTAAATGTGTAATAAAGTCTATACAGTAAGCTTTACTGTTCCCATATGTCTAAAGTAGTCAGCTGAGGGAGATGTTAGCACTTCCATTATTTGATGTATTTCTAAACCTAATTTGAACAGAAGTTGACTGTTTTGTGAAGTTAAATTCTGACAAACATAATTTGGCCATTGCATATTCATACCAGACCTAATCTAGATTTCATTTTTGAAGTTCTTTCTTAACAACAATTTCTTTTTTTTTCTCCGAGTTTTTTCTTGTTCATATTAGTATGTCAAATGCATGAAGAATGGCTTAAAAAATCTTCTAGTGGAATTATTCATAAGTAAATATTTCTTTTCACCAGAAATGAAGTAAATGCAGAATGGACTTCTATTTGACTGCAATAATGTATGTTAGGAGAAATTCAAAGTAAGGTACCTTTTCTATAGTATGTTTATCTTAATTACCAAGATGTAATATTTTAAAACTGTACAAAAGTGTATATAAGGCCAATTAGTATTAAAAACCTATACAGCTGTTAAGAATAATACATTCAATCAGTATCAAATCCTTTTGAGGCTCTTGCTGTAATTGAAGAATTACTATGACCTTTTAAGACTGCTGATTATATTTGTCTTAGTGGGCTCACTTTTGTATAAAATCTAAACTGAGTAGCAACCTCTGAAAGTTGCTACACTCTGTAAGATAGTCTTGAAACAATATAGTATGTATTTCTTACAGAATTCCTGGTTTCAAGAAAATGGCTTTTCAGTGGTCTTCACTGTATATATTTCCAAGCAATTTATTACTGTTTTTTAAAGTCTCTTGGAGAGAATTGAATGATGCAAATTAGTGGGTTTGAAACTTGTTTCATGGGAAAGCTCATTGTCTCCTCTGGAAGTTACAGCTATTGTAAAAATACAATTACAAAATACTGTATGGACTGTAAGATGATTTCACATGAGTGGTTAAAGGTCATTATTCTGTAAATCTTGTTTTTAAGTATTGAAAATTATAGTTATGTTGAATTAGGTTGAATAAATATTTTTTACACTCCTTAGTGTATTTTGTCAATTGAACAAAAATCCTGTAGCAAAACTTCTGAATGGAAACTGTGTTTTGTTTAAATGCATACCTAAAGATAGATATAATTAATTTTAAGTTGGTAGCCTAAAGAAATATCTTTGTGATGAAGAAAGAATGACTTTAAGACTGAAGTCTGACATTGATTTTTTTTTTTCCCTCATTTTTAGTGATGAATAAATGATGTAGGGGAATGTGTTTCTTAAACATTTAAAGCAAAAGAATTGTTACAATATGGGCAACTTCCAGTAACAGAACTGGGGCTGGAAGTGACTACATACCCTTTGACTGGCTGATGTGCAGCACTGATGTGGGCAATACATTGATCCTTCTCCATCAAGAAAGATACTACTGGCTGAAGGAATTGTATTTTTCACTGATAGCCAATTTATGTTCCATTACTTTCATGGACTATGAAGTGTTGTCTGGCATTTTTTGGTATACTTTTACCTTTAACATTGTTTCTCTTAGACTTCCATTGCACTTACCTAAGGGCAGAAATTACCTGTGCTGTGATTATGTAAATACACAGAAGATGCTTCTCCCCTTCTCTCTTTTCTTCTGCCTTAAACTCTTAGATTTAGATGGACTCCCTACTTCACTTTTTTTTTTAGTTTTTTTCTTTCCTGTAAAACTTTGATGTGTGTGTGCAGAGATTTGCCAAGCACTCTTTCTGCTTTGCTAAGATAGAGAAGTCCAGATAGGCTTTATTTATTAATTTCAAGCCTTACTCCAGAGCTTGAGTGATACAACTCACTCTCCAGAAGGCCAGCTCCCAGGACATGCAGGAAGAAGTATTGCTGTGAGTGAGAAATGTGCTCTGTAAACAGGGATGAACTACCCATAGGATCATGGCTCCTAGGCTTTCAGATGGTTTGGAGACCTGTGGCCACTTTGTCCATTCTTGCCATTTAGTTATTCACATGTTCTGGATATGTTATTGTTTTTGCTCCTCTGAACATTGTGAGCATAACGTAGTTATTTCTGGTGTACTGTACAAAGTTGTTCAGTAGAAAAATTCCATTCCAGAACTACTAAAAGCAAACAGGAGACATGACTTGAAACTGCCTCAACCAAACAGCTCAGCAGCACCTGTCAAAACATATCGTGCAGGCATCTCATTTAATGCTGGATGACTAAGCCATGGAAAAGCAATTGCCTAAGCAGTGGTCCTCCATAGGAAGTACTGTGCTTTTGAAATAAAAAACAAAAGCAATTCCTGGCTTCAGACCACTCTGTGGTAGAGGATGCACAGCTTGATGTTTGGGGTGCTTAGTGTTTTTCAATTGCTCCTCTGCCCTGACTCAACTCAGTAACACTTGGCTGCAGTTTAACAGGAGCTGATAAAGGAAACTGCTCTGAGTATTTTCTGTGTGTCTAAGGACTGTTTGTCAGCAGTTGTCATTTCTCTGACATGAATCATTACAAGAAGCTACCTCTGAAAGAGCCTCGCCTTCCTAATTTTCTAGATACTTCTCATGCGTAGATATAATATATAAGAATAGAATAAAAAACATTTCTAGTTTAATGAAAAGCTAGAATGATTTTTGGGCTTTTTTTCTGCAGCAAAATGGTGCCTGGTTCAGAACTGTTTGACTATCTTGGTGGAAGAAAGTCTCTACCACATTACGTCTTTTGCACAGTTCTAGGTTAACCTAGGTCGTTCCGTTTGGTAATTCAGAGTTTGTTACTAATCATAGTTTGCTGCATTTCTGTTGCTTTATTCTGTTTCAAACAAGACCACAGTGCAGGAGGAATGTCCTGCTTATCCAGTATATTTGTACTTCAGGTTCAGAGGTTTTATGTCATTTATTTTATTAATCCAAGACAAATGTTGGTTAAGTATAGAAAACATATTACAATAACTGCTTCTGGATCAAGAACAGTGCAGTAGTTCTATGGAACACAAGTTATATGATGAAAGGCATTTGGGGTAGGGTGGATGTGTGTAGGAATAAAAACAGAGATAGAAGAAAATGCCATTTTGACATACAGAATCTGAGACTTGGACTTAATCGCCTTGGCACCAAGCTATGAAGGGCTAGTGGGATTTCTTTAAAACCAAGATAAGACAAGTGCCTTTGGAATTGCAGAAAGGAGCACAGAAAATTGGTACTAACCTATAAAAATATTTCAGTTTGAATTTCATTAAACAAAGATTTCAGCTTTTAAAATTTTTTTGTACCTTTTAAATGCAAAACAATTTTTTTTGTGTTCTCATGTTGGTTTCTTTGGAAAAAGCAAATGGCATCTTCTAACAGCAGGGTTTTCTACCCCAGCATGTTTTTAAATTTCAAAGTACTGTGAAAAAGTAAGTGCTTTCCACTTAACATAAATTCTATACTGGGGAATACAACTAACCTTCCCCCATTACCAAGCCCCATCTCCAGCTGCAGACACAGAATTGTGTTATGGATTTATGCTATATAACACCTTATTCATAATTAGGCTGCTTTTCCCATCTCAGTTTAAAGATGAATTAAAATGCAGACAAAATTAAAGAGTAAACTTTAAAGTCATTTCAAAGCTATGTATGCTTCTGGGGTTTTTTTCAGCTTTAGATTCTTTTTTAACAGATATTTTCTATTTTCCTTTCTGAAGGGGCTCAAAAGTGCTAAGACTCATTACATCCATTTATTTTATTTTTTTTAAAGTACAGTTACAACACTTACATAGGGGTAACGTATGCCAAACAACAGAAATGTGTATTTACTGAGCCTTGAGGCCAGAAGCTCATTGGGTAGAGTCACAGTAAGGGATCATAGATCATCTATAACATTCCTCCAGCATTTCAGTTCTTGCTGAGCTAAATGGCACACACTGTTTGTTGAAATCCCTTTATGTAACACTTAACAGTAGAATTTTTAGCAACCCACAGAAATATTTTGCCCTAATCTACAGATTAGGACCAAGAAAAACTAAAAAAGCTTTACTAGTAGCATCTGGGGAGACATTTTAGAGATGATTCCAGCAACAGATGATGGAAGTTGCCCCACATGTCAGGGAGATCATCTTGTCTCTTCAAAAATCTGAGCAGCACAGGGCA